TATCTGCCAGGCGTGGCAGTGGGGTACATTACTTCCACATCTGTCCCATTGGCCAGAGCTCAGTCGTATCCCAACTTCAGTGCAGCCAGTTAAGAAAAACGGTTTAGCTGTGGACCCCAAGGAAAATGAATTGGGCGTGTTACGTACTCGGTGCTGTGTTTGCCATAGATGCCGGTTCTCAGACATCTGGATCCTAACGGTTGGCATGATGCGAAACCCCGACTACGCAGGTACATGAGAGTGCACTTGGCATTCTTGTAGTTGTCAGGAAGATGTTTTATCAGTTTGTTTTTGGTATCGAGTTTGTGTTTTAAAATTGCTTCAACTGTTGCTTTTTAATTATAAATCAGAGGCAGTCGAGCACCATCTGTATCGACTAATCTGTTGTGTAGTGAGCCCCACAATTTGTAAAGTAATGCCTTTTGCATCAGTATATAGTTTTCCAAAAACAAACATACCCAGATGTTTGTCTGCCATTTTCAATAACTTGTTCACAGCCAGTTCTTTAACACTGGGCCGTTTTTCCACTGGGAAGTGGAAATGTGTGGGTGTGTTCATCAAACCAGGTTTCCTTTTTTTTTTTTTTTTAACGGAGACATAGCTAGACCCCTGGTTAGGTAGGGACATGTGACCAAGTTCTGGCTTGTTGAGTCAGTGGAGGAGATATAAACCACTGCAGTTCTGGTCCATGAAAACCTGTATCAGCCTCCATCTTCCTTCCTGCCTCAGACCAGATCTGGAGGCCAGATCTGGCTTGCTGCCTGATTTTGTAAATAACATTTTATTGGAGCACAGCCTGCCCATTTGCTCATGGCTATTTCCGTGCTAGTTGAGTAGTAGAGACTATGGCCTGGTAAGCCAAAAATATTTATTGTTTGGCCTTTTACAAAAACAGTTTTCTGAACCCTGCTCTAGCTGAATGGAGATCTATGAGAAGGGTGGAGCCATAAGGTAGGAACAGCCTGGGTCCCTGGATGCACGTGGAAGTCCACCTAACTAAGAATAGCCAATTGAACCTTGTCTGCATGACACATTCTCAGAGTATTAAGTTACTGCAATTTTGCATTTATTGCATTTATTCCAGCACATATTATTTAGTACTTAGGGCACAGGGGCCATAGCACCTGTTGTTCTGTTTAAGAAAAGCCTAGTTCAAAAAAGTTTAAGAACTACTGATTTGTAACACCAGATCCAAACTCTTCTTTCTCTTTTTCAAGACTTATTGTATTTTAGGTTTTTCTTAGCAATATAGCTTTTCTTTTACTATTCCTCATCTCTTTGTTCTATGCAAGTTAATTTCTTTACTGCACGTCTTTACCCAAGGCCCTTTTAAACCTTGCCATTCCATTCCTTGGCTTAGTGGTAGAATGCACTCTTCACTCTCCTGCGTGTCCTAAGCTCATCTCTCCTTAGTGCTAAAAGCCCTTTCATTCTTTCTTGATTACTAACATGGTGTTTCCCTTCTTTGATTTCTGCTGATACAAAAGAACGTAATTGCTAGGTGGTGTTTATTGTGCCGAGGTCTCAGTCCTCCTTACAGAGCTAGGTGAGTGTCTTCATAGTTGTGCCGACTCTTCTGTTGCAGGCCCAGAGCACCTAGGTTGGCGCATGTCCCCAGTGCCGAGCATCAAGGGCTCCTGGGGATTTTTTTAAACTGCGGTATGTTGAGTCCTACCTCAGACTGAAGTTTGAATCTTTAGTGAATGGGCCTGAGATAAAAATCAACATTTTAAAAACTTCCCGCTGATTCTCAGACAGGTTTAAAAATTG